AACCTGGTTGATTCCATGACTCTATGATTCTGAGGGGGGATGGTTAAATATTTAGCAGGAGGTCTACAGAGTTAAATCTGAGTAAATTTAATAGTAAGAGACAATTTTCAAGTTGCTGTTAAAATCAAGGAATCTTCTACTCCTTATCTTCTAACTCCAAATGTTCCTGGGATGTTACTGTTCCAGTAATCCTGGGAATTCCTAGCTTGAAGGACTAGGAAAGCTTTATTCAGATGTCAATCTATTTACTGAATAGCTCTGACACCACTTTGTACAAAGTCAGTTTTCCCATTTCCTCAGTTTAGTCAACTTCCCATGCTTGTGCAGGTTCACAAAGGGAAAAAAACCACCCAAACAATCCTTTGGACACAGAAATGTGATTGTTTAGGAATCATAGCTCTTCAAGTGACTCAGGGACAGGTGAAGTAATTGAAACTGCCCTCAAAAGTGAATTTAAAGCTATCTCTGGCCCCTTAGATGAAACGTTTTGCTCTCTGTGGTGCTGCTGCTTGGTTTTGTCTCAGAGCCATTACCAAAGTCTCAGTTTGGAGTTCTTGTCCTGACTGTGCAGGGAACTGAGTGACAGTGAGGCAAAGCAAAAGCTTCAGTTCATTGATGATGAGCTGCCAGAAATGTCAGAATTTTAAGCAGCTATTGGCCCAGTTTGTTTACTGCATCTGTTGTGCCTTTTGTAATTCACAGAGTGTTTACAGGGTAAATAAGTTACTCACTGGAACTCACTTCCTCCTCTGCATGAGTCACACTGAATCAACCACCACGGTAAAGAGCTAGGAAAGAACATGTATCTTAATACTCCAAAAATTAACATCCTGAGCAGTTATTATTCCCATTATTTAAGTGGTAAACAGCTTGTTCTTTACAGTTCTTCAACAGAGAAATGACTGAATGTTACAAGTATTTCCTTTCAAAGGAGTTCATAAGAAAAGCTGAGTTTAAGGGGAATCCCCTCCTGATTTTCCTGGTTTTTGTGGATCAGAAACATGTACATCCCTCCTTCCCTGACTAAAAACACACCTTTAAAGGCATGATCAGGGGAGAGGGATGTTCTCAGCTACTCAAGATACAGTGTTCCTAGGCCCTTAAAGGGGGGAAGGGGTGGGACTTGTGTTCTAGCTGAAGACTTCAGACTGAATTATTTTTGGTGCTTGGGGAACCTGAAATAGAGTAAATGTTAATGACTAATTCCACTCCAGCCTGGAAATGCAGTCAGTTATCTCATCTGGGCTCTACAGAGGTAAGATATAAACACTTCTTTGTATTGGTGAAGTGAAGAGATAAGGCTGATGCTGATAAGGCTGTCAGGAAGTGCATAGTCACTTTTTGAGGGTGGAACATCACACTTCTAACTTTTCTTGCCTCTATTTGTGAGTAGTAAAAGTGTGGGCAGCCAGTGATTCTGAAACTGGTTTATTTCCTGTGTAACACTGCATGTTGCTCTAAAATACTTATAATAACCTCCCCTTTCCAGCCTGTCACTGTTTGAACAATATCTATATTGGGGTGTACAATAGTTTAAGTCTTTTTTAGAACAACAAAGACTTTTTCTGCCCTTGTGCATCTCTCTGGTTCTTGTTTTTTAGCTGTATTTTCTAAGTGGAATATAAACACTTCTAATGTATCAATAGAGCCTGAGGATTAGTGCCAGAAAAAGGAGCAGATGATGTTTTTACGTAGGTGCTACATAAACAGCAGCTGGATTTGGGAGGAGACAAGTGGAATTTCTTGGAGGAAATAACCTCCTCCTCCTCCTGACCTTTTATAGCTGAGATTAAGCCCCACCAATTGGGAGCATTCCATGCTGGAATCATGTGGCACAGCAAGTTATGCCCCCTGCAATTGTTTAGAAGATATTCTGGTGTGCTTTGACACTCTCCAAATGACAAGAGGGGTAGGATCCTACCATCTTCATCAGGCAGCTCCTCAGGGTTCAGTTCTACCAGCTCAAAGCCATGTTTGATGCACCATTCTTGAGCCTTCTGTCTGTTAACACCTAAAGTGGGAGAAAAAACTGTGTGTCAAACATGCAGATTTGAGACCAATGTCAGCAGATGAGTCTTTAGCTAAACCATTCCCTCAAAATGGTTTGTTATTCTGGATTTTATGGGGGGAAACTGTGTAGAGGCTGGTCTGAGCCCTCCATTCACTCTGGATTCCAAAACTCCAGAGCTATACTCCTCCTTAGAATTGCTTATTTCAAATGCTATAAAATGGCATTGTGGAAGGTACTCAAAGACAAACGTAAGTGAAGTGCCCCAGTGAATGAAGACTTCTATTAACTGTGGGTTTGACAGTGAATGAGCTGCAGGGACACATCTGCAACTCACAGCCTGCTGTCTAGAACCAAAGCACATTTGGTTTAATGCCCAAATGGCCCAACAAAATGGAAGTACTTTCCACTGTGGTCATACAACCAAGAGTCATCCCCAATTTTCACCAAGATCATGCACATCCAGCAGCAGAAATGCAGTGGGAGGAGACAGAGAACTCACTCTGAGCAAGCTGGTAACATTCTGACTCAGCTTTAACCACAACTTGCTCAGGACTTCCTCTCTTGCTCACAACTCACCTGGCTCTCCCTATTAAATCTCAATGCCACTCTCACACAGATATTCTGAGAAACAAGGTGCTGATTTAACTAGAAAGTCAATTATCACGCAGGGTTAATCACTCTGTCAGTCAGGAACCTCTCTGGGTTTCATACCATTTTCAGACACTCTGTTACAGACCAGGATCATCACTTCTGGCAGCCACTCTTCTGTCAGGGGGAGCCACTCAGAGACACTGTCCAGTCCAGTTTTCTGAAGGGGAAAAAAGTCATTGGAATATATCCTCAAATGGTTTTTAAACTATTTTAAAATCATTAGTAGTATTAAACAAACAAAGTAAGGAAACATGCTAGGCTGCATATCAAGTATGCTTGATACTTGTGTTGTAATCACAGAAGTTGATATACACAACTTCCTTCTGATTCTTGACTTACAGGTGAGCTAATTCTGTAATGTTTATATTAATTGAGTGTAGGGAAGGGAAGGTTTTCAAACCAATCGTTTTAGGCCTATCTCATGTTTAATGTGTTCCACATGACAGTGGATGTTCTGGTCCCATTGCTCTGGTTGTTCTGGGACTGCCCTGAGCTGCCTGGCTCAAGGGATCTGTGCACAACGTGTGCTATGCACCTTCCCCAGCTGTGGGGAAAGAATTCCCAAGGTAGGATTTGGTTCAGTCTCAGAACGGGGGAGGTGGTGTGGTTTAGGCCTATCTCATGTTTAATGTGTTCCACATGACAGTGGATGTTCTGGTCCCATTGCTCTGGTTGTTCTGGGACTGCCCTGAGCTGCCTGGCTCAAGGGATCTGTGCACAACGTGTGCTATGCACCTTCCCCAGCTGTGGGGAAAGAATTCCCAAGGTAGGATTTGGTTCAGTCTCAGAACGGGGGAGGTGGTGTGGGAAGATCTGCCTCAGTGGCATATTTGCATGCTGGAAACCTCTCTTCCAGCTGGAGTGCAGTAGTGAGAGGGAAGGAAACTGCTGCTATTGTTAGGAGACATAATCTAACATTGATCTTCTGCCAATGAACAGAACAGCCTTAAGGGAATGGATAGCACAAGGTGCAGAGAATCTGATTAGTGGTTATCACTGTGGAGAGACAACTCCATCAGCCAGATAATGCAATACAATGAGACAGAAGAGTCTTACTGTTTTAAGTACTTACTATTGTGCTGTCAAAGTACACCACAAAGGCTTGCACGGATTCAGCAATATCTCCAGTCACATGGAATGTATTTGGGACCACACAGAGGTGAATATCTGCAGAGTAATACTTATTATCTATTGTCCAGGGGTAAAAAGTCACTCTGCCACTTGTAACTGCACCCACAGAGAGGTCATCTCTTCCTGTGATACCTGGAAAGAGAAAATGAATAGATGGATGATAAAACCAGTACCAAGAAAATAATTTGTCTAGAAATGTACAGTTCCAATTCAGAACCATCTTTACTTACTGTAAAAAACAGTATATAGTCAAGATCTTTAAAGTTCAAACTCAGCCTGTTGCTCTGTCCCAGATTCTGTTACTGAGTTTTCAGAAGAGTTTACTTTGTAGCTTTCAAAATCAGACCTGATACAGAAGCACCTCAGAAAGCCTTTTTTCCTGGAAATGCCTTTAAAGTGTTAACCTCCAACTCACTACCTGTGAACAGAATGTATGGAGACAATGCCTAGACTTTATAACAGCAGAAACAACCCTTCCATGTCCATTCAGATGTGAAGAACTGTCTGACTGTGACCATAACCTGAAGGTAACTAATGAGAAAATAAACCCAGTTACTACAATTCCATTGCAATTCCCATTAAATTCCATGTAGGAGTTCAACAATTAAAATCCAAACCAGTGCTTTGCTCAGGGAATGTTAAATACTGTCCTACAAGGTAGGAACCTTCCCAGTGCACACTCATGGCATGAGAGGCACCTCATGGAGTTGAATTAGTTTGTAGTGGAGTATCCCATCTATTCCTCCCTGGGATGAACTCATGGACACTTTAACACAGGTCAATTATTTATGGAATGGACTGAGTCATATGGAATTGCCTTGGGCATCACAAGAGTTAAAGAAGTGAAGTACATGAGTTTTCAAGGACGTTGGAAGTTGCATTTTAAGGTACTGGGAGACAGTTCCTGGAGCTGCAAGTACAGGCTGTTCCCTAAATAGTCTGGAGATGAATTTGGATTTATCTGTATCTTATTAACAAAAAGGCAGGAAAATCCCATGGCCAAGGTTGCATTGAAAGGCTCAATGCTTTTTGCAACTGCAAAGTCTGAGAACAGATCTGGTGAATGAGCACAGTGCTCGAGGCAGCGAGAGCTCTTAAACCAGGATTACTTGCAGCAGGAAGGAGAAAGGGAATCCGAGGGAGAAATTTGACCTTGGAAACACAAAACTAGGAGGGAATCTCCTCTCTGGTTTTCTTTAAGTGCCACATCTATGTGCTTTTCCCAGGTTAAAGTTTGATTTTTTTCCATTAGGATGACAATGGTCTTCAGAGTAACTGGTGTGCAACGAGCAGATCTGTCATAAGATCATCCACATCACCTTGGAGCTAAGGAATGGATAAAATGTTCAAAGTACAAGGATGCCTTTTCTTTCCAGAATTAGCTGCTGCTTAGCTTTTCAAATTCAGGCATAATCTTAAGTTTGTGCCCTGGAATCTACATGGTTTGTTTGCAGCTTTTGAATAGGATATAAATCCCTGTTTACTAGTGCTTTGACAGTTAAAAATAAGTAACTAAAGGAAAATCAGATCTAAGCTAACAAAATTAGTGTAATGAGAAGGATAAAGGAGCTCATAGACATTACCGAATCCTACAAAATCAGCAATAAGACTCAGAAAGCCATAAGGAGGAAAAGAGGGTGAGGGAAGGAAATCAGCTCAAAATTCACTGAGTTATTCACCCTAGCAAAGGACACAAAAGAAAAGAAGTTCTATAAAAGACTTTCAAAGGCTGATATGAATTTCACATTTGCTTTGTAAGTGATTTTTTTCTTGCAGAAGAGTTCATGGACAAATTTAGGCCTCAAAGTATTGCTAAAACGAGGACATGTCCCATTTCCTATTACCTGCTCCTTGTTCCTGTATTTGAAGCAGTTTTCTTTGATCCCATTGTGCTGCTGATTACCCATCCCTCATCCAGAGATTTTGCCAATTCCCTGTGAAATTTCTCTCCCAGTAAAAATGGAAGTTGCATACTAAACTCAAAGCACTGCAGGAACTTTCTGAGAGGATTCAGACTTGCTGTGGTCCTGGCAGGAAACAGCACAGTTTAGGTATCCTGTGAAGGTCTCTCCCACAAAGGTCACAGAGCAATTAGTTTTTGGCCTTTAGAGTAAACAAGCAGGGACTACAAAAGGAATATAGACTGCAATTCAAACTGAGTTGTCAAGGATTTATTTTATGTAGGAACTAATTTTAAGGGTTATATTTACACCTCTGGATTCTGGGAATTTCTAAGACAGTCTGTATTTTAATGGAAGAAGGGAATTCAGCCAGAAGTTTCATATCTAATTTAGAAAGTATTGATCAGCATAAACCATACGAAGTTTTATTTGGATACAGAATAAACTCCTAGAAAACGAATATGGTAAAAGGAGGTGCCTTGTCAAACTTATCTCTTAGGAGTAACTTGTGAGTTACTCCTCAGCCATTGAAAGTGTCAGTGGTTTGCCATGCAAAGAGCCTGGAAAACCAAGTGAGTCACCCCCAGAGCAGAGCGGGAGGAGGGAGGCTGCTGGCTGCTCTGAGAGCTGAGTGCCTCGTCTGGGTGACAGGAATGCAAACAGACTCCACATGCATCAGCATTACAGACTACTCCAAACTACAACTGAAAAGTTCCTGTCACTGAAGAATGTTGCTTAGTGTCATGCAAAACCAGGAGGCTGAGCTCAGGGTGCTCTGAGAAGCTCTGAGTACTGGACATTTATTTTACTGAAGTAACATTTTCAATCTTACCAGTAACTGTCGGATACTAATTCAGATCTCCTGTCTTTGTGTCCCTGTCAGTACAGAAGCACTTCCAGCACCATCCCTGGTCATTCCCTCCTGCACACCCAGCACTGTGCTAACACCCACCTGTGCTAAAATGACGTTTGTTGGACATGGACAATTCTCTCCCCCCAGTTTGTCCCAGTTCATGACTCCCTTTGCCCTTTTTCTATCAGAAAACCATTTAAGAACAAAGCAGCAACTGACATGAGGTCAGTTCTCGGCTCAGTCCAGTCACTGGTGTCAGATAGCTCCAAGAAGTTCCAAACTCCTGGAATCTGGCCAGAGGAAAAGTTTTTTTTACTTCCATGCAGTCACTAACTTATATTTTTCAGCAAGTTCATTCTGACCAATACCCTTGGGAATTAATTTCATCTGTTTACATAAATCTTTGCTCATTTTACTGACTTAAACTTGTTGACTTTTAATTTCAGCACTTTAAGCATTTGTACCACATTGTAATAATTCCAAAAAATATTACTATTAAACTTCTTATTGCAGGTTGGTTTTTTTTCCAAAAGGATTAAGGTATTGATAATTCTTCCTAGTGTTTATCTGATCGAATCCATGGTATAAAAACATAAATCATCCTTCTGCAGTGCCCTAAATGATCCCAAATCCTTGTAGCTGGGAGGTACAAGGAGTAGTTCCCACATCCTAGGCCTTGAGAGCCACCTGGTGGAATAAACCATCGAAAATACTCCTCAAAACTACACCAAGGAGTAAGGAGAGCCCAAATATGCTGTGGGGGAGGAGGGGAGTGGTAAACAGTCAAAAGAGAGAAGCAAAGACAATCACATCAGGCAGGATTTATGTTGCTCAGCATTTAAAGACTGAAACAATCTTATTTTCTGTTTTAATTTGTGATCTATGCACCATAATCACAATAGTAAGAGAAGAGACAGAGCAGGTTGTGCATGTTAAACAGCTTTGGTTTGCCACAGCTGTTAATAACACAAAGCATTTGGAGCACCCCCAGAAACCTGAATGAATGAATTCCTCTCTGCCAAATGTACCATAATATTCTCCTCATCCTCAAGCCATTTCCTACTGAACAGGATGAACACACTGGAAAAAGCCCTGGGATTACCCTGGAAGGTTCTGTCAGGCTGTTTCACCCCCTAAACCCTCCAGCCCAGCCCACTGCAGCCACTCACTGCTGCCCTGTCCCTACCAGGACACCCTGGAATGTGTCCCAACCTGCTGATGGTAAAATTACCTGAGGTGATTTCACTCGTTATACCATGCAGGGACATAAAATTATTAGGGTATTTATTTGAGTAAATGACCTTGTTTCTTTCAGGAAGATCTTAATGTTTTGGGAAACATCAGAGGACACAGACAAGCTGCAAGACTCTAGTTTGGCACTGGAACCAGTGGGAGTCTCAACACTTCCAAGTGAGTACTAAAAAAAATAAATCTTAAGTTAAATTTTAAGACTCTCTCAGGTTAAGTAACATTTCCATGAAGCTTTTTGCTCATCTCTTTTACCTGTTTAATTTCACTATGAGAAATAATCAAAGCTAACCTAGAGGAACCTTGAATAATTCTTTCCTTTGCTTAGACCTTCCTCAAAAATGAGGAAAAACCCAATAATATTCTTTGGTGTGGAATCCTTAAATAACTCAGTATCTACCCAGTTGCTTTGGCAGAGGAGCCTTTGCTGCAGACCTTGTTATTGTCTCAAACTGTGGGCTAGTGAGATGGACAGAGCAGCTCTGTGCTTCGTGGAGTCCTAAGTAACAACTTGCTTAGAAAGAGCTTTAAAAAAACAACAGAAAAGGGAGTGAATGTATTAAGTTATATATCTGAAAGTGCACAGCAAACTGCTCTGAGTTCCCTAAAGAGCAAAGCTGTCCTGACATGTTCAAGTTGAAGGAGGGGAAATTTAGGTTAGGTATTAGGCAGAAGTTTTCCCTGTGAGGGTGGTGAGACACTGTCCCAGGTTGCCCAGGGAGGCTCTGGCTGCCACAACCCTGGCAGTGTTCACAGCCAGGTTGGATGAACCTTGAGCAACCTGCTCTGGTGGGAGGTGTCCCTGCCCAGGGCAGGGGGCTGGGGCTGGATGACCTCTAAGCTCCATTCCAATCCCTTAACATATTATGATTCTATATTGTAGTGGAAAACCCACCAAGACCTAAATAGCTTTTTCCTGAAATCCCTCTGGACTTAGAGCTATCAAAAATTCCACCAGGGTTTCCTCTGCTATCAGATCTCATGTTCCTTTTTCAAGCCGTGGAAAGGGGAACTGGTTTCCAGGAAAACCACTTCCAGTAGGCTGAATTCTGTGTTGTATATGGAATGGAACTGCACAAAACGTTTTTAGCTTCTCCTTTTGGTGCTTTTGCACTGGGACAACAAATGGT